CTGGCTCCATCCCTGCCTCTTCGACCTGTTTGTTTCCTCTCCACCTAGCCTCTCCTCTATCCCTCTTCTATCCGCCTCCCACTCTCTCCCTATTTATTTCGGAATCCCCTTCCCCCCGCCCCTTTTCTGATGAAGGGTCTAGGCCCGAAATGTCAGCCTCTCTTCTCCTATGATGCTGCTTGGCCTGCTGTGTTCATCCAGCCCTGCACCTTGTTGTCTCGGATTCTCCAGCATCTGCAGTTCCTACTACCCCAGCTCAAAGAGTATCTTGATACCACAGGCAAAGAGTCTAATTCCCTTTTATATTGTATTTGTGTTAAAATTCTTGATGAGATTAATTCCTTCCAAGTATTTAAGGCAGGCACGGTTGAAAAGTTGGAAGTGTTGGCTGGTATTTACATGATTAAACCTAAGAGACCAATGGCCTGATGTTTCCCTGAGATATGATCTTTTAGGTTTAAACAAATCCCCGGAGTTCTCATATGGATTTTTAGATAGCATTATTTTTAGATAAGGAAATATTTACAATGTGGAAAACCATGAAAGAATAATAACGTCTCACTAAGACTCTAGACCCGCTTGAACAGTACAGCCATGCCCAGCTATCTTTTACGAATTCTAATTATTTACTATCTTCTAAAAAAAATTCTAAACAAAAGTATCCACATCAGCAAACACAAGTGAAAACATGGCCAAGTTAATAGTGCAATAATGTACTATTCATTATTGCTTCATTTAATTTGTGTTCTCATTATCTATTGGTTTCTGGCTCTGCGTATGGAGACCTATCATTATCTTTAAGCTTTCCGTAAAGTCCCAAAGACACCATTCAAGACAGTCTACTGTATTTGATTTTTAAAAAATCATTTTCTTAATGACACTAATATTGTTGAATAAAACTGAATTTGAAAAATAAAAGGTACAACTATGAAACCAGTGGGTTACCTCATGGCAGCCAATTCATCCTCTTTATATCCCGTTACTGTAAAATATGGAATGGACTAGTGGAAATTGAAAGAAACAATCACCTGCACCCTCTGGAAATGACAAAACATGAGGAAGCCAACCATATCACCTACAAAGACCATTTGTTTCCAAGACAGTTTATAACAATCTATCTTCCTGAGGATAGTCCCACAATGGAACAAAGTAAGTAGTTACTGCTTTATCACCCCCACAATGTTCAAGACCCAACTTTAGACCATTGTACTTTAAAGTTTTCATTATTGAGAATACAACTTCAGCAGGGTCTGCCTGATTTAGCTAGAACTACCCATATAAATGTTTGTGATAAACAGATATTAGTCTGTGATGCTGATACAAGCAAAACAGAAGCAGGGAAAATGTTATATTCAGTGTCCCACAGGCATTCTTGCTGTATCCCACTGTGACACTGAGCACCCACTCCATATTCCACTGCCCCACAGGGCAATCTCTCACTGCCCTACCCTTGCTATATTCCACTATCCTACAGCATAATCTCTCCGTAACCCACTGCCCCATAGGGCATCTACTCTGTATCCTAGTGTTTCACAGTGCAACACCTTTATGTCATTTCAAACTATGTGTGATTAACTCAGTGCATTTGTTTTATACTGACATATGAATCACATATTTCAGTAATTAGTGGAGTTACTAATTCTATTAACACTTTTAGGAAAACATCAAGATTAGTTTAATTGCACAGTACTGAAGAAAACATTACGAATGTGAAACTAAGCTTCAAGGAAGTACCAAAGTGTATACTTACTCCAAGAATTGCCCTTGTGTAGAAAAATTCTGGGTTGTACTCATAAAACATGTAATAATAGACAAACAGAAAGATATTGATTCCCAGCCACACCATCTGGAAGCAAAGAATTATAGAGATTAACTCATCTGTCAGCAGCAAAATCATCTCTGGCCATTGTGATTGAGGTTAAAAGCTTCAAGAGTGCTGTAGTTTAAATGTTCTCCTTACAATAACCAAAGCAGACAGCCCATGATTAATAACCCAATTGCTCATGGTTGCTAGACTTCTGTTAATCAACTGGTGATAAAGTTAAATTACCTTGTGATTTATACCGACCAGAAGGGGTGGGGAAGGCCGTTGACGAAGTCAAACTTCAAGGAAGTAGTTCTTAATTTTCTGGCAAAAACTAATCCTCCTACTTGTCCATTTATCTATTCTTGTATTCCACATGATCTCATTCAGGAAATGTTACGGTCTGTGTTTTAAGTGGAGCCTGTCACATGAAAACTTCTCAAAGCATGTCACAAGTAATAACCTTTGATATAAGGTAGAAAGACTTTCATTTATATCATTTTTTTTCCTGACTGCCAGATTTCTTAAAGCACTTTATAGCCAATGGTCACTGCTGTAACAGAGTAAATGTAAAAGCCAATTTGTGCACAGTCAACAGCAATGTGACAATAACCAAGTAATCTAGTTCTGTGATGTTGATTGAAGGAAATATATTGGCCAGGACACCATAGAAGACTCCCCTGCAACTCTTCAAAGTAGTGCCATGGGATCTTTCACTTCCTCTTGAGTAGGTGGATAAGGCCATAGTTTAAAATTCCATGTGAAGGGCAGCATCTCCAGCAATGCAACACTCCCTCAGTGCTTCACTAGAGTATCATCAGCTTTGTTGTTTGTGCTCAAAATCTGAAGGAGGTCTTGAACGTTTAGAGGCAACTGAGCCGTAACTGGTGCGCAGAATTTCTTGTCGGCCTAGAATTTTATTTTGCTGCACCCAGTCTGGCAGGTTGGTTTGCAGTTGTAATGAGTGCCAGAAGTTGCCATCTCCATAATAATGAAGCATGCTGCAAAGGCATCCAGGGATGACATCTGGAACTGATGTTAAAACTTTTGCTTATGTGAAGTGGACCTGCTCCTCCCAGCTCCTCAGCTATTCAAAAGATTCACAGTGCCAACTTCTCAATTCCTTTTCACCATCAATATTCTCCAACCCTGAATCTAGTTCCTAACCAGTACTGAGAAGCTGAATTGGTCCTCTTGGATCTGGTAAGATGCTTTTGCATTGTCCAGTCATTCAAGATATACTAACAAGGGTTAAGATGCAGTGTTTGGTGACAAAATATGAAAATGAGCTGAACCTCCCTTGATAGAACTCACTGATTTTTATTATGGTGTTCTACTGCAAGGTGGCTTCTCCAACTGAATCCTGTCCAAATCTGGCCTCTATACAGCATATACAGCAGACATTGCTGATCAGAAATTAAAACCAGAAACTCTCACTGAATTTCCTATTCCAAATCTATTGCTTTCTCTGAGTGAAATAAAGAAAGGAGAAGTACCGGGAACACACAGCAGACCAGGCAGCTTCTGTCGGGAGAAATAGATTTCGCAGCTAAAACCTTGCAAGTATGTGGAAATACCACCATCAGGACTGAAATTGGATCCTGAGCCTGCATGATGGTTGGGAGAATCCTAACCAGGATTTTACCAGTGCCAATCAATGCAGAGGCCCCCGCCAGGACTGCCATCCACTAAAAGACTGAGCCAGTTGCTCTGAGACAATCAGAGAACAAACACAGAGGTGGCAATTGCTGAGGCTGCTGGAAGTGACAGAGGGAGGAGGGGGAAGAGAGTTCTCAAGACCAAGTTAGTTTAAATTACCAAACTAGCCAGGAGTGAGCCCTCTAGCTACAGCTTCAGGGTCACAGGGGCCCCTGATGGATCAGCTATTCAGGGAAGCAACCTTGGCTTATCTGGCAGTCTCCCCGCATGACGGAGGCCAGTCACAGCGATAGTATTATTACTCACCCATTTTGGACATGTAATGACATATCTCCGGAGCAGGTAAGATTGAACACAAAGCTTCTGGTTGAGAAGTTGGAACACCACTATTGTGATCCGAGAGCCTTCCAATCATTGGGGAAGACGCCAGTGAGGGCAGGAAGTGGCTGATAATTGTTCAATTGATTGCTTCAATTAGTTTCCTGCTTCCGCTGACATTTGTGTTCTGGTGGGTATCTATAGTGACAGGAAAATATCAGGCTCCCCTCCCAAAGTCATCAGCTGCTAACTTGCAACCCATCTCCAGAGGGCCGGTTAACTCAGCCCAAAATTTCAGGTTGATAAAATCTCACCCGTATTTTGCTCTCTGTTTTTGTTAGTGCTTTACTGAGTTCAGCTCACACCTGGGGCTTTCCCACTTATTGTGACTCATTGGTTACAGTCTCACACTACGCTGTTTGAAAGCTTGAAAATAATTTTATGCTTGAAGGCATTCAACACTCCTTTTCAGTTGATTGTGTGTTTTTTGAATCTTAGGATCAGACAGTTTGCAAACGAGTGCTTACCTGCAGCTGAATGGCATCCACTGCTGACCCTTTTCCACTGCTTTACAAAAATGCAATGACTTTATAATCATGGTAGCCTGAAATGAAATGACTTTGCATAGAGTCATAGATTCAGTCAGCATGGAAACAGGCCCTCAGCCCAATTCATCTATGCCAATCAGGTTTCCTAAACTGAACTAGTCCTATTTGCCTGCATTTGGTCCATATCCCTCTAAATCTTTTTTTATTCATGTACCTGTCCAAATGTCTTTTAAATGTTGTAACTGTACTCACCTCTAAAACTTCTTTTGGCAGTTTCTTCCACATTCACACCACCCTCTGTGTGAAAATGTTGTCCCTCAGGTTCCTATAAATCTTTCCTCTCTTCCTTAAACCTAGTTTTGGACTCCCCTACCCTGGTGAAAAGACCTTGGCTATTCATCTTATCTATGCCCCTCATGATTTAACAACCATCCTCAGTCTCCTACGCGTCAGGGAAAATTGTCCCAGCCTATCAACCTTTCCTTATAAATCAAACTCTCCAGTCTTGGTAACATCCTTGTAAATCTTTTTTGCTCCCTTTCCACTTTAACAATATCCTTCCTATAGCGGGCAACCAGAATTGTACACAGTACTCCAAATGTGGCCTTACCAACATCCTGTACCGATGTAACATGACATGCCAATTCCTGTATTCAGTGCTTTGACCAATGAAAGCAAGTGTGCCAACCGCTTTCTTCACAGCTCTGCTTACCTGTGATGAAGGAACTATGTATCTGCACCCCTAGGTCTCTCTGTTTGACAATCTTCAATTGAAAAATTATTACAGGTTTCAAGTAAATGTGTTGCGCACAATCTTTCAACCAATTGCTATTAAATTGCTTCTAAAAGTTTGAAAGGGCATTGTTTGAAGATACGATTACATGCTTAGAGGAGTACTGCTCATTATCCTCCCACATCTGCTCATGGAGTTTAGTATCAGCAATAATGCATTAAACCATACACCTCACAAATACTGACAGACCTGAACGCAGCATCAAACTCTATTGTGTGGCTATAGGAGAGGGGCGGTAATATAGCATTAGCCAAAACCAACACAAACTTTTTAACTCTGTGTGAGTAAAGGAGATCATATCTTAAAGAAATATTACTTTATTAATCAGCTGTTTCAAAACAAAAGGTTTGAAATCTGAACACCTTGTAACCAGTAAAAACTGAACACCCAATCCTGCCCTTGCTTGAGCTGGGTCTCAGTTTTTGCCACAACATCATACTTTTCCCATGCTAATTTGCACTTGTAACTTCCTAATCTTATCCCCTATTTCTGTGCTCACTTGAAATGATATGTGGACTTGTGATGCTGCCTGATCTGTTGCCAAATGATCTGCTTTTTGTTTCAGATTTTCAGAAACAAGAGTATTTTGCTCTTGGATTAATGTCTGGTTGGAATAGATCATTGGATGGTAAGTGTAGACTGAGATGATCAAATACTATATTGGATACAATTTATATATCGTGTTGCTGAAATACCTGTACGGGACAGTTCTGTTAATTTGTTTTTTGTTTCCCTGTTCATTTTAATCTTTACATCTACACTGGGTAGAGCTGTGCTACAATAGGAAACATGAACAAGAGAAATGCTGTGATATCTTCAGGAAGTGTGAGAGCGTGGGACTGATATTCACTCTAATATTTCTCTTCCTTCCCATAAAGAAGGTTCTAACTTTTAGTCAGTGCCTTCTCAGCACAGCACACCTACTACAGAGAGGCTGCTATGTCAGGAATCGGAGATTTTTATACACACTTTTAAAATTGTCTTCTCTTTCCTCAACTCCTCACTACACAATATCAATCAAATAATTTCTTAAAGTGATAAATATCTTTTTGAAATTGTAAAGTTTACTGAGCTACATCTCAGTAGCCCCTGTCTTCTTGTTATAACCTTTGAAGGTGCTTTTGATGGATCATCGATGAGTTGCTGCACTCCTGCAGGCAAGTGGAGAATATTCCATCAATCCTGAGTTGTGCCTTGCAAATGTTGGGAATCAGGAGGTGAGTTACTGTTTTCTGCTGAGTGTTTTCCTAGTTCCTGTGTTCTTTCCATGAACAAAGATTCCTCTATGAAGCAGACTCATATCTAGGTTCTAAAACCATGAAAAGTCACATCAAGCAAAGCAATCAGTCAAGAATGCACAAGAAATGAAGCAATTAGTGTAACATTTTAGAATTTCTGCTTCATGGCTTGAGACAGAGAAAAGCTTTGCAGAATGTTCCCTTAAGAAATTAGTTAGGTATAGTTAAACAGTGGATAGATTGTACGTGGTGTTTGGAAAGCTGGGTTTAATGGATATTTACTCAGACTTTCCATTCTGGTGTATTTGAGAAGTTTTTTTTAAGTTTGTCGTTCAAAGTTGTGTGTCATTCTGAGCTTGTGTGTCATTCTGAGTTTGTGTGTCAAGCCCTGTTAATAATTACAATCCTGTTATTTATTACATTAAAATTCTTGATTATGCAACAGAATCCAAAAAGCCCTCAATTGCACAAGGACAAGTTTAAGTTTCATTCAGATTCAGCTTACTTGAATTTTAGTCATTTGAGCAACTGTCTTTTAAACAAAACTCAATGAAGCCAATCATCAAATGAAGCGTAAAATCCTGGCACTCATACAGAAACCATTCTAACTAGTCAAACAGATGTGGTGTTGGGGTATAATACAGTGACAGCAGTAGACATATACGATTGATTTCCTGTCCTTATTTGCACACAGTCTAAACACAGACAGGCCGATTGCCTCACTTCTGAAACGTAGATACTGAAATGTACTTTGTAATGACTAGTTGCTGTGGATTAAATTCAGTGAGTACAAGTGAATAGCTGCAACAATTTATGTATCTTCTGCAATAA